GCCTTATGGATCCAATTCAGTAAGAATGTTGCACCTGAAGCAGATGAATAGGCAGTTCATTCACTGTTGCTCATTTGATTCAATACAACCGCCCCCCCCCAACCCTGTGATGCTCTGTGCCTGGAAGATGATTGGTGCTAGTGACTGACAGAGGCAGGCTACAGGCAGTCAAAGAAACTACTGCAGCTGCTTTTATTTACCCTGTCATGTACTCCATCAGCTGCCTCCTTACTCTCAAGGGATGTGACATAACTAGAAGAGCCTGCGCAGCTCTTCTTTTTGCCCATTCACCTTTTTACATATGCCAGTCAAGGTCCTTCTAACCCTTCTCCGCTTGGGAACTCCAGGTGTCTTTGTAAAAGGATTTAGTAAAATTCTCTGCAAGGCTTAGGAAAGTGGTGGTGCTGGTGGTCATCTTTAACAGGACACTGAAAGGATGGGGCAGAATGGGGTAAGGAGAGGGATCTGAGAGATGATCTCACCCCTTACGAAGCAGTTGGCTGAAAAGCACTAATTACAGGGAAAAATTTAGCATAGGCAGGTTTCCCTGAAAGCTTATTTTGGCTAGGCAGAGCCAGGTCCATGGCTCACCTTGGAGATCCTCATGTTGCATCTCACTTAGGCAGAGAGGACGCTGTAGAGCAATGCTGGCACTACCAGTTGTGTGGCTGAAGGCCACCTTGTTGTGGAACATGTGGGGTTGTGATAGCCAGGGTGGCTGCTTCTATTGTTTGTGGGGCCTTCCCCCCCTTCTCTCATTCTAACAAAGATTCTGATTAATGATTGCTCATTCCTAATTGTCAAATTTCTTTTCCTTCATCCTGTGTCTAATCACCAGTGACAGAAGCTATTACGCAAATGAGAGCAGACGACTTCCCACAACTGTTCTCGTTGGTAAAAGCCTTGTAATTTAAAGCTCTGATTTGTAGAGGAAAGCTGCGTTTCCCCAAGGCGTCCGGGCATCTGTTCCACTTACACTCTGAGAGCCTTCACTTCCGCTCCCTCCCCCGCCAATTAATCTTCCGCTCACACAAATATTTGACTTTGCAAGGCAGTAATTAGAACTTACTTTGCATGTGCTCATCCTCGCGAAAGCCTCTTCTTCTCTTTCCTTGTCTGAAGACCTGCTCAATGTAAAACAATGCATGATGGAGGTGGTGACCCTTAACCTGCTTGAGGGAGATGTGATGCTGAACTCAAACCTCCCAACAGAGGTGGGCCCACCCAGATCCACAATCTCTGGCTGGAACAGAGATGAGCTTGAGGTCCAATAGCAACTAGATATTGCTAGAATTGAATTGGAAATTGAAAAGGGAATTGAAGATGGAAGGAAATGGAGTTTAAGGGAAGTATTGTGAAAGATAACTATTTACAATAGATTTTTACTACTGGGAGTAACAGACTAATTTGTGAAACAGAAGGCAGCAACATTAGGGCCTGGGAAAGTCGCATGATCATGGACCAAACACCAAAGCATCTTTTGGTGCCATCAGACCTCCCAGCTAGATGCTGGTCACAAAGGGAGGTCATTTGTACAAATCCAGCAGCCTGCCAATCTTCTGTTTTTACAGGTCTCCATTCAGCCATGAAAACAGACATAGCCTGGAAGCCCATGGCCACAGACTTTCCTTCTCCTTCAGAGAATCTCTTCTTCAAGAGATCAAGGGACAGGAGACAAAAGGCAAATGGGAGCTAGCAAAGGAGGCAAGAGGCAAAGAAGAGAAAATAAAATGCAAAATAGGCATATAAAGGGAAGAAAAAAACATGGGTCAAATATGGGTTATCTTCTCCAGAGTTCACACACTGCCTGGTTGATGGTGAGTAGTGCTGGAGTGATGTTATAGCCATGATGGTGCAGGAATTACCTTTTTTGTGGGTGTTACTTTTCATTGGAACAACTGCATAGTTCAGATACAGTCAAGATAAGTTTTCAAATGCAAGGCATTCTTTATCAGGTACAAAAGCATATTCCCTGTATGAATCACTTCACTGCGGTGCCTCAGTATTTCCACCTAGAAAAAAAATTGGGCTAATTCCTTTGTCACTCACAGGCCTATTGCAAGGCTTGTTGTAAAGGGTTTTGTGCTCAGGGATGATTGCTGCAAAAGGGCAAAGGTTAGACATGCCTACCCTATGTACCATCACCATCAAGGTAAGTTACTCATACACAAGGCATGCAACAGCATAGGTATCATAGAAAGCCGAGGCAGCCACTCTCACAAATGATGTCACATTGTGCAGATCTAGAAGTAAATGCATATTTCAAAGGGACATAATCCCATGAAGATACAGGTCATAAGCTGTGCAGGAACAAAGACAAGAACAGGAAACAGAGACCAGCAGTGTTGGATCATGACATCGCCTCTACCCAAACCCTAACTGCCTAATGCTGGAGTTCCTAGACACTATGCAATCACTGATACTCCCATCCTCGTCTTCTCATCTGCCATTCAGTTTACTGAGCAATTCACCTTTTTCCTTGTCCATTTTCCTTCCTCCACTCCCAAACCATGTATGTGCCTTTAACCCAATGAATCAAATGGAGACACCATTAATCAGAAAGCAGTCACATGCTCCCCAGCCCCAATCACTAGCTGCATTTTACAAATTAAGGAAAAAAATCCAACCAGTGCAGTTTTGGAACTCCCCAAGGATGCCTCAATGAAATGCCCCTGATCTTGTCTGAGTGCTCCCCACCTTGCTACACAAACACAAAAGTATTCTAAATAATTTCCACCCAGCTGAGGTGAATGTGTAGATTACACAAAATGGCTCCCACTGAGCTATCAGGCACATATAAATTAACTCCCTTAAAGTTTAATAGACATGAGGCATCATAATCAACACGTTTTAATGCATACCAGAGCTGTGTGTATGTAGAATCTCACAGGAATACACTGGCCTTTATGCTTAGGGGCAGATCTGCTGCTGCTTACAAAGAAGTGAGACATTTGATCATAGGAAGATAGGGCTGACAGGGACCTCGTGAGGCCATCTAGTCTAGCTCTCTGCTCAAGGCAGGATCATCCCTGACTTAAACCATGCCAGTCAAGTGTCTGTCTAATCTGTTCTTGAAAATTTTCAGGGATGGAGATTCCACAGCTTTTCAAAGCAGCCTATTCCAACCTCAGTCAGAAAGTTCCTCCTAATCTGCAAACTGAATTTCTTCTGCTGTAGCTTGAAGCCATTGTTTTAGTCCTGTCCCCGAAAGCCATAGAGAATTGTCTATCTCTATCCTTTCTATAATCATCCTTCAGGTATTTGAAGACTATTACCAAATCCCCCATAGTCATCCCTTCTCCAGAGTAAGTTAACCTAGTTCTTTTTACCCTTTCCACATAAATCATACTTCCCAGACCTATAATCGTTTTGGTTACTTTCCACTGTTCTCTTTCCAATCTGTCCATATCTTTCTTGAAGCATGGTGCCCAAAACTGGACACAATACAGCAGATAAGGCCTCACCAGCACGAAAGCATGGAAGAATCACTTCCTTTCATTTGCAAGAGAGACTCTTAACAAATGCACAGAAGACACAGGATGGCTCAGAGGACTGTTTTTGACAAAGGTTCTTCAGCTCTTACTCATGGCCTCACATCTAACCCATGCTCATACCAACTGACAGTGGTTGGGTGGGCTGGCATGCGTGAAGTTTTATTGGTCCTATGGTTAGTGCGCAAGCATCCCTATAGGCAATTCCTTATTGCTCCAAGAAGCCCAGAATACAACCATGTAGTGACAACACCATGTAGACAGGACTCCTCTTTTACCCCAAGAAATGTTGTCAGCTCAGGGGAGTAGGGGTAAGACATTGCTAAGAGGCTGCATGTAACAGGGAACATAAACCCTGTTACTAGGAAGCACGATGGCTCCTTCAAGAACAGTACTTTCAGGGCTAGTCAGGTGACCGGCAGAGAGCTCAGGCTAGAGCTATATAAACCCTGGTCTGAGCTAGCCAGGTGGGACCCGGCTGGGAGGGTAGACTTCGGAGAACTCCCAGAGAAGCTTTGGCAGCTCTTGGAGAGAGAACAGCAGACACTGGGATGCAGAGTCGGAGCCACGGCACTGTAAGCAGGCAGATTGCCCTTTTACCTTTATTTTTGTTATAGCCCAGAGGCTTACTGCTTATGCTGTATTTTGTAAACTGGTGGTTTGTGGCTGGGGCTGTAGGGGAGGTGAAAACCTCATTAGCACCCACAGGACGCAGCTACAGAGGGGCTAGAGAGCCCAGCACCAGGAGGGTACAGCAGACAAGGGCCAGGGGCCCAGTTGGGGAGCTAGGGCCTTAAAGCCAGGCCTGAGATAATAGGTATGGGCAAAAGAGCTTAGCCATATACAAGGGGATGAAGCTGGATAGGCTGAAGTCCCAACAGAGTTGGAGAACAGCGTATAGGACCACATGCCCACAGCACACTAAGAGGCTAAAGCTTCGAAGCCTGACCCTCTCTCGTGGGTCTAGGCTGGTGGGGCAGAAGCCGAGTAGGCTGAAGTCCCAAGAGACACATAACAACTAACCTCTGTGGGGTATGAGGCATGTTAAGGGAAAGTTGGAACATGCAATTAGCCTCTAAGGCGAAAGGTCCTCACAGCTTTGGGGAGTGGGAGTGTAGATATCGCTTGGGAAGCCCTGGGGCAGCTTCCTCATCAAGAACCAAGGAACATCAAGTCACGGCAGGCGCATGGAGGGGAGTTTGTTCTCAGAGGAAAACAGAGATATCAAACAACTTTGAGGTACCTTTGTAGGCTTAAAAATGCTGCTGAAGGTGTTACCCTGTTACACTGCACTACTGGCACTATTCATATTTGTTAAAAGATTAAAGGGCCATCAATAGGGCATCTTTGACCTGTAGTGAATTCTTTAAAGAATTTAAAAGCTGAAGAATTCCAAGCTCTGGATTTGGGATGCTATGCTGATGTCCTCTTTCCCAAAAAATGAATGCCTTACTAGGTATATTCTGCTTTAGGAACCAGCACTCACAGAGAATAAAAGCCACACACTTCTGTTGTTCAACATTGGTTGTATTTAAGAACTACACTTCAGAAGGTACCATGTGTTTCTCTCTCACACCCCTATTGTAAAACACACATAGCTTCCCGATACCATTGCAGGGGCATTGAAAGCACAAATGGAAAGGGGGGCGGAGGGGAGGAAAATGTCAGTCCATCAGTGCATTGTAAATGAGCTTTCATGTCAGTCAAGTGCAGCAAGAACTGCTCAGACACTTAAAAAGTTAGACCTTTGGCAATAAAAAAAATCCCATAGTTTCCATATGTACCATCCTCTCTGTGAGGCACTGGGACCTCATATCCTAGGATTCAAAAACAGAGGCGCCAGCTAGCAGCTCATATGACTGCTGTGCTCTGAACAATGTCATGTAGATAAGGTCCACTTCGGCCATCTGCTAAGTAAGGCAAGAGGACTTGCCCACACTCCAACAACTTTTGGGAAGACTTCAGTTTTAGCCAGAGACAGAAGACGTTGATTGTTTCTCCTCTTCTCCATCTCCAAGGTGGATGGTTGAAAAATACTTTGCCAAGTGATCTTGGTTCTGATACAGTAAAAGCTTTGGAGTGGAAGTTTGTCTCCTGCTGCCCCCTCACCTGGTGTTACATTTCACTAAATGAGTGGCATGGGGATCTTCTGTAGCAAGATGTCTATTGTTGCCCACTGTGCCACTCGACACCAGACCTGTAACCAGCCTTCGAGAACAATTTAAAAAACTGAAAGAACCCGCTAGGTATTGCCAGACAATTCAGCTGAGTTAAGCATTTCTTCCGTTTCTACATAAGGAAAGTTCACTGTAAATGTTATAAGAACTGTCCCAGCACCAGGTAGCACAGAACAAGATAAAGATACAATGGGATTTCCCTAGTGTTGTCTCCTCCCTAGACTGTAAACTTCACAGAAACCTGCATGTCAAAATAGGCCCCAAAGAGAAAAGGAAATAAAGCACTAGGAAATAAAGTTAAAAGAACTAGCTCTCACTGGTCATTGGGGTGCATTAAATGGGACCCAGTACAGCTTAGCCCACCTCTAATTTCTACGATCACTTAGTCACATTCAATAGACTGCCTAGGAATAGCATAGCAATGCATAAGAAACTAGAGCATGTCCACATATGAATTGGAAGCCTCTGCAAGGACATAGAACTAGGAAGGGGTTGATGGCTCTTCTGGCAGGTTGCTGGGACTCTAAAAAAGGAAGCTCTGCTGCTTCCAAGTCCTTGCCTTTCCATTTTCTAGGCTACCGTGACAAGTCCAAAGGATTCAAACAAATTTAACACACTTAAACAAAAACCTTCCCCCACTCCTCCCACACGGTTGTACAAGGAAAGAGGCAACACAACAGCACAAGCCAAACTGGTACACTGAGAGCCTGACAGCTTCACACACACACTACTTGCTGAGCTTACCAGTAAAGGGCACTTTCTGTTTTGTCCAAGGAAACCGGCACCCCCTGGTGGAGAAAAGGGAAGCTGTGCGTGTCTCATTCTGAACTGTCATTCGACAGTCTCTCAGTTCAGGACCCCTGAAAATCAGTTTTCATGTGGCTTAATCATAGGAGCCTTGGTCAGTGTCCTGGCATATCTATTGCCCTTTACCACACTATACCCACTTTTAATCATACTGTGACTTTAGAAAGAGAGGAAGGAAACCTTCGCTCCTCGAAGAAATCTGTCAACAGGAGAAAAGAGGTTCCCCCCAGCTTCATACAAGAGCCAGGTCAGGAGGGGAGGGATTCTGTGTGCACATACTATATGGATTCAATCATTCTACTCCGTACCCAGCTCCAATGCCCTGAGCATAAATGTCTTGGGGGTAGGGAGATCCAAAACATCTGCCCAGTTGTTCCTCATACCAAAGTCATCACGTGCTTATGCCCACTATCTATCTAAAAGTTCCAGGATTCAGCAGGTACAAGACCTAACACAAGAGGGTCATGAAAAGCTAAGGCTTCCTGCCATCCACAGACTTTCCATACCAGTTTCCAGATATCATGCGTCTACTGCAAGCACCACAGAAACCCAGCTGATGGGCTTGAACTCGAGGAGGTTGAGGGAACAAGATCACAACTGGCTCCCTTCCAAACTGTCCTTTATACACTTTAAACCCCAGAAGGAACACATCTGAGTGCCTGAAGCCATACTTCTCATCTCAGCACACAGGGAAAACACAGTTACTGGAAGATGGATTCTTGCCCACTAAGTGCAGATTCTTTCTTGGGAGGTGGAAGATTCAGTTGGATGACAGTGGGGAAAGATGGGGGAGGCTAATGGTTTTGCAGTTCCAGTAGTCCCCTCAAATTGTTGTGGGGCGGGACAGGGATGGGCCAAGAACCCATCAGTCTGTTAAGTGCTGCGTGCAATACTAGCGCTCAGTATCTTCCATTGCTTGTGAACAAAGCAGCTCCAACAGTCGCCCAGGTAGCTAGAGCTTAGTCATACCGACCCTTAATCATCATGTTCAACAAGGGACCCACCTGTTCAAGACAAAGAGAGACTGTTAGCCACAGAACACACACCACAACAGAGGTTGCAAAAGCCCATTCCCTATCTCTGCCTGTGATAATATCAGCTCCTACAAACTAAGTAAGGTGAAGAAAACAGAAGACTGCCAACATTGGAGTTTGTTATTTATACTCCAGAAAAGACATTTGGCCCAATTCACAGTGAACCACGACAATACCATGAGAGGACTGTACCATCTTTCAGATGAAATACAAGACCAGTCTTAAAGATACTGCACATCTTTCCACAAAAGAAAACCTTAGGGTCCTGGCCAAATCCCAGCTCAGGTATACTAAATACATCTTCTGTATGCAAAAAAAATCCCACCTGTAATTTCAGTTGTAACCCATTTAATTTACTTCTTGTCCTAAACTTGTTCTATATTGCTGGACATTACGTATTAAATGAGGTACCAAATTCAGAGGCTATTTTGGAGCAAAGGAATGTTCTCCTTGTATAACCTGCATGATATTTTGAGATCATTTGAAATGAAAAACTTGACAGAGATGTTTACCGTGGCTTGACCTATCAGTAAACATTGCGTTAGAATAGCCAGGAAATACCTTTCACATCTTGGTTAACAAAAAGAAAAAAGGCACCTCCCTTGGAGGATACTAGATGTTTGTGCTAGAGAACACTACTAAATATTTTCAGACACCAACATGTTCTTGAACTGATCAACAGTTCAAGATCAATTCTTGGAAAAATGTGTTTGTCATGAAGACGTCTGCATTTAGCACTCAGTATTTCAACTTCAGCAGAAGAAGAGAGTGTATTTTCAGAGAGAAACCACATTCCAAATACCAGTTTCATCCTCCAGTTTATGAGGTACTAGGTCGGGGTGGGCAATTATTTCAGGCGGAGGGACGCCTACTGAGTTTTGGCAAACCACTGAGGGCCGCATGACAGGTAGCCAGGGGCAGAAAAACATTAATTTTCTAAATTTCTTATGGGGTCCGTGGGCCGGATAGAATGGCCTGGTGGGCTGCATCTGGCCCATAGGCCGCATTTTGCCCACCTCTGTACTTGCTGCTAAAAGTCATATCAGAAAACAAGCTTAGGGACAGCGGGAAGGAGAAGGAAGCAAGAGTGTTACCAGAATGAGGTGGCTCTCAGCCTGGGACAGTTAGACAAAACAATACTGTATTCCAGTGAGCAGCTAGTTACGGACCTTGCCCTAACTGTCCTGAAACATTACCCCTTCGATACTGTCATTCGTCCTCCATTCATCTTTTGACCAGCAATGTTTGTCTGGCAATATCCAGAATAAAGCATAACAAGTCTTGGTGAAGACACTAGTTTCCAATGTTACAACATACTGTGGTATGCACAAATGTTCCCAAGCTTTATAATTTTAGGGATTCATCATTTTGTAATCCCAAGGCACTGTGAGGTCAGAGCATTAAGACTTGCCACTAAAAATACTGCTGCATTGCCCCTTCTCCCTCAAGGCCACACAATTTGCTGGAGGCTGAAGTTCTGCAGACCACACTCATCTAGTTCAATCGCAGCGGGAGCATTTCTTTTTAAACTGTACCTCTTGTGGGTTTCCCAGGGCCTCTCCCAACATCTTCTCAATGTTCCTCATTATTGCCACTTTTTGATGAGCCTTTAATGGATATTCAATTCTCTTTGGAGTAGGGGCACCCTGAAAATAAAGAATAGCTTATTGTGTCCCTACTGAAATGTCTGCCTTCTCCCAGCATCACCTATGTTGACAGGAAACACTCAACCAAGCATTACAGATAATTAGCAACAATGTTCTCTTATGCCAAACCATGGACGGAACAAAAATCAGGTCTTTTCTAGTGACAAATCCTACATGCAAAATTACTGCAGTAATAGTTTCATAGTTTCTAGGGTCAGAAGGGACCTGAGCAGATCAACTAGTCCGACCCCCTGCCATGGCAGGAAGAGCACTGGGGTCAAATGACCCCAATAAGGTGGTCATCCAACCTCCTCTTAAAAACCCCCAGGGTGGGAGCCTGCACCACCTCACTTGGAAGCTGGTTCCAGACTCTAGCCGCCCTGACTGTGAAGTAGCGCCTCCTGATGTCCAACTTAAACCTTCCCTCCGCCAGCTTGTGACCATTGTTCCTGGTCACTCCTTGTGGCGCTCGGGGGAACAGGGACTCCCCCAGCGCCTGCTGATCCCCCCTAACCAGTTTATAACAGGCCACAAGATCCCCCCTCAGCCTTCTCTTTTGAAGGCTGAACAGGTTCAGGTCCCGCAACCTTTCCTCATAGGACCTACCCTGCTGTCCCTTGATCATACGAGTGGCCCTCCTCTGGACCCTCTCCATGCTGTCCACATCCCTCTTAAAGTGCGGTGCCCAGAACTGGACGCAGTACTCCAGCTGCGGCCTGACCAGTGCCGCACAGAGGGGGAGGATCACCTCCTTGGACCTGCTTGAGATGCATCTGTGGATGCACGACAAGGTGCAGCTGGCCTTCCTAGCCGCCTCCCCACATTGCCGATTCATGTTCATCTTGGAGTCAATAATGACTCCCAGATCCTTTTCCACCTCCAAAAAAGTTAAGTAATGTTAAGCCATGCTTGACAAAGACTGTTTTGTCTTCATGCTGCAGCACCAGAGGAGTTGGGGAAAGTCCTATGAAATAATGAACCACCACAAAGAAGTTGGAAGGAGATGTTCTTACCTTGTACCAGAAATTCACAGTGATAGTAATTCCCCCATTCAGCAGTGACTCGATGTGATGCCACCTGCACAGAAATGGCACAAGATGGAGAAAGAAACTCCTGCAAAGTGAGACATCCCTACATACTGAAGAGGGCCATATTACTGGAGAGTGACCTTGTCTTGTCCCTCTGCCATCAACAAAACCCCCCACCTGACCTTCGTACAACTCCCCTTAGTTACTGAAATCTAAATACTTTTGTGGCACATATGACTATAGCATCTGAAAGCCCCACACACCTCAAAACTCCAGGGTAGGAAGTAGTTTTTCTCTCATTTACAGACAAGGACTGGAAGCAAAGAGTGGTAAAGATCTGCTTAAGACCTCACAGCAAGTATGCAGTTCAGCCTGAAATAACACCAAGATCTCTTGAAGCCCAGCACTGTTCCAACAAAAAGATTATCTTTTCCCTTTAAACTTCCATGTGCTCCACATCCCTTTTAACCTCTCATCCCAGCCCTGTCATGTGCCAGCTCATTGCATGCTCCTTACCAGTACATAGGGATGTAGAGAACATCACCCGGGCCCACCACCGTCTCATAGCCAACCACGTTTTGGAAGTTAGGGAATTTCTCATAATCAGGATTGTCAAAGTCCACCTGGAGGATCAGAAAAGATAAGAACATAGAACTGAGGAGCAAACATATGGAACTAAGAAGAGTATCTTTTTCATTGATGGTCTCTATTTCAGGCTCTCCAAGTCCTGCATCCTTCTGTTGATCTGTGCTTTGCACATCACTTCTGTACAACAAATACCTCCAAAAATGCTTCCAACTACTGTGGTGTTAAGCCTGAATGACAACTACATCAAAAAGATTTATTGGACTCTGTCCCTCTCAAGTTGGGGATAGATAAAAGAATCTTACCCCCTTTAAAAGGAAGGGGCTTACAGCTGAATCCACCTTAACTGTTTTGTCTGCTGTTATCCCACAGCAAATGGAAGCTAAACTGCAATAATTTCCCATTAGGTTAATTAATTCAGGAGTAAATTACTGCAATTCAATTTCACTTACTACTGAATATGAGTGGAGAGACAAAACAGTTATAGTGGATTCAGCTGATATTTATGCATGAGCATGAATTCCCTCCTCAACTCACCCTCCCTCCCTAATGCACTATAGTTGCCTGCCCCAACTCTCCATGAATAATTAATGAAACAGGAAGAAGAAGAGTAAAGAGAAAGAAATAGTCCCCCAGCTATTTTATTGCAAAACAAGATGTTTGTATTCCTAGAATGTATGATTCAAGACTGAAAGAAAACTTATTTGGATCCAAGCAAACAAGAGGAAGACAAGAAACATTTCCAAAAAAGTTATGCTCTTCAGCTAACAAATTAGCACTCAAGAGCCCAGAAGACAACGCTTTGCACATCTATTACTTCTCAAAGTACCTGCAACAAGAAGTTTTACATCATTACTATAGTAGACAGCACATGGGGAAACTGAACACCTGAGGAATTAAATGACTTGTTCAGCTCACGGTTAGTAGCCAAACTTAAGAATTCTGTCTGCTCTATTACAAGAATACATATGCCTCGAAGTGATGCTGATGTGTAACCTACTGCATAACTGATGCACAGCAGAGTCCAATTTTACAATACAGAGACCAGATATAACTGATCTGATGCAGACATTCTAGTGGCTGAGCTGCAAGGTAGGAATTGGTTCACAATACAGATCTAGCATATCTTCCACACAGCTACAACTTTCCCAAATGTACTCCTTTCTGTGTGTAATAGAGAACAGATCCAATTCACCACAGTCATTATTCTCACCTGGCTCTGCCTGTCACATGGATGGTGCACTGGGTAGGGGTAGAGGCACTCAAACTGATCTGGAGGGAACAGGATACACCGCTTGTAGCCCTTGATCTGAGCAAAGAAGTTCTGCTGCTCATCATAGTGAGCTGGTGTCACATTCCCTGCACAAAGAAAGAGGCTGATAGTCACCAGACAGAAACACTCTCACCTCCATTTTAAAGGCAGGGGCAAAGTAGCAGAGTTAAGGATTGGCTGTTTGAGTAAAAAAGGGGAGGAGCTTTTAAAAAACACTAAAGCTCTTAGTATTGGGGGGTGATAAATATACTCTATAGGGCTTTAAGGGGCTGATTAGGAAGTGTCAGTACTTTTGCAAGTTTCATTTAAAAAAAAAAAAGTGACCTCCACCTCCTTGAGATGCCAGACCATCCTCTCAGAGTAGGTCTCCATAACATGATTATTAGAGAAAGGACAGGAATACCGTCCAGTGAAGAAGTAGTTAATGACTGACACTTTTCAGACTTCAATGGTAAGAAAAACCTTAGAAAAGGAACTGGGATTCTGAGCCACTGTGTCAGGCAATCTGCAAACTCAACAACACTGGTTCAGTCTTTGTTTACATGTTAAGGTATCTCAGAAACTACAATGGTCAAATGCTAAATGTGGTTAAGAGAATAAGACTGCAAGATGGCTAACTCCAGAAAGATGTTCCTTTTCACTTCTGCAAACTGGCCCCAATGATTTTGAGTGACTCTTAATAACTGGATGTAGTTTGACGAAGTTACAAGCCTTTGGCAAAAGTCTATGCCGTGTGTTTTTATGGAGTTTTTCCTTTAAATTAGTAAAGCATACAGTGAAGGTAGGAGCTTTACTACCTGCGTATGATTAGCTTACTTAGTTGCACAGTGAAAGTAACAGCCAGAGCTTGGACAGCCACCAGTTTCTAAGGAGCTTAAGACTGGTAATTCAAGTGTGACAGGCAGTTTGATTAAATCTCATCCCCATGTCCCTCAGAACTGCTTAAATTCACAAACCAGATGAGAGATTAAAGAAATATTCACCTTCCACCAAAATGTCCTGCATGAAGATGATGAAGTAAAGCACGTGTTTTCTGAAACTTCAGGCTACAGTTCAGTCCCCAAACTGATTTCCAATTCTACACTTATCAGTTGCCTACCTTCAAGATCCTAAGGGCACTATATGATGTTGCAGTATCAAACTGAAGTAATTTGAAAGACGATTCTTTCCTCCAATATGCTGCCCACTAACACCATATTATGGCATTGGCTCGATATTGATTCAGAAAGACTAATTCCAACATCTCTTTACCTACTGCATGCTTATTCTTGCAGTATTCAGAGACTGGAAAAAGAATGCAACATTCTGCGCACTTAAAAACCAAAAACCAATACAGGAATGTATAGGATCAGTTCACCCATCACTGATAAAGACCAGGGGCAGCTACAGACCACGAGTATTGTTAATTCAAAATGCACTCCAGAACTCTGTGACACAATGGCAGAGAGCTGAAACTACAGTGAGCAATTAAACCATGGAAACATCTCCAAACAACTACAGCATACTTTGGTCACTATCTTTAACTTGGATTACAGAAAAATTGTACACGCAAATGAAACTCCCTGTAAGTTATTGGTGCTGCTTCCGAGATGACGAGAGGTCAGTTAATTCTGGAGAGCAGTGGTCAGAACAGCTGAAAATGACCCCCAGAATTCAAATTCACCAATGACCCTCCTGGAGATCAGTGTTAGAATCAGTCAGTTGCTTACCTTCCATGCCAATAAGCAGTAAATTGGAGGTCAACTGCCCCCACCCACGCTTCCCCTGCTGCTTGTTAATCCAGTTCCAATTAAAGCCTAAGAAATCCATCACAATCTTCCTTCCAACTGTATCATTCAGTGTCTGCTGCAAATACAACCTGCATTTTCCAGAGATAAAAGTTAAAGAGTCAGCATTAAGTATCTGTACATACAAAAAGGCATCTTCTCATTACCCTCAAAAAGATCCCTCTTTCCCTCCACACCCCCCCACCCCCTTACTATTACAAACAGGTAGATTTGAAGATAAGTCTCACATAAACACTGAAAAATCACCTTCTCTACAAAGGATGGAGACACCTACTATTTTTAGAAATTCTACTGTCATCACCCAGGGTTTCAGAGAAAATCTCATAGATTTCATAGACATTAGAGCTGGAAGGGACCTCAGAAGATCATCGAGTCCAGCCCCCTGCCCCAGGGGCAGGAAGTCAGCTGGGGTCATAGGATCCCAGCAAGATAAACATCCAAATTTCTCTTGTAGGTGTTCAAAGTAGGTGCCTGAACCACCTCCAATGGCAGGCTATTCCAGACCTTGGGGACTCAGACAGTAAAGAAGTTCTTCCTTCAAGTAGCATGTCTAGCCTGAAACAGTCTTGGAGGAGTTTATAACCGTTCGACCATGTCATCCCTTGGGATGCAAGAAATTCATGCCTATGGAAGGGAAGACTTCTGAAAACCTGAGTCAAACTTTGCCCTACAGAAATTCTGACAAAGGAAATTGATTCATATTTGGTTCAAATAATAATATATTGAAAGAAGGACTTTGTTAGGCTTTGAAGCAAGGAGAAACTAACCAGCAAGTTCATTAAAAGGGAAGTTTAAAAAGCCCAGTGTATCAGACAGCCACTGTCTATAGCCAAGTCTAATTAATCTGTACCCTTAAGCTTAGTCCTTCTTCTTAATTTAAGTCACTAAAATCCTTGAGGAACCTTTCCAATAAAGAGTTTGTTTGGGCAGGATGAGGTTGAAGGAGTCTTAACATAAATATTAGATCTCAGCTCGCCAAGCTCAATGGCACATCTGAACATGTGTGGCTACAGAGCAAGAACCAAAGAGAGAGAGACTCTCATTCACTGCAGTTGAGTAGTGCATATTAATACTCCAATACCCAGGTTCAGCAGTCAAATACAAGTAAAGCTGCTCCTGGAGCAGTGTGCTGAATCTTGACATGCCATCTGAAAGGGAAAAGCCACAGAAGCAACGAAGGCTCAGGGGTCCAGTATGGGGACACACAACTACTCTGTTCTCTATAGCCGACTCAAATCCAGCCAATACTCATAGTATCCAGGACTTGGTCCTATCTAATGGTTGCACAGTGAATTATGTGAAATGAGTAGTTAAGCTGGCTGCTAACAGATGAGCATCACAATCAAATCATGGACACAGCATTAATTTATACCTTTGCTAGTAGCATGGGAAGAGACACCAACCAGCCTACACCAGAGACTAACCCCCCTTTCTGTTTAACTCCTCATCCACCCGAGGAAAAGGTAACATGCATACATGGAGCACTGGCAGGGGGGAGGCTGACTGTTAGTGTTTGGGCCTCTCCTAGGGATTGGGGCCTTTATTCTCCACAGCTACCAAGTTTATTTCTCGCTCCTGGTGGAAAGAACTTAAGTGAAGAATCAGATAAAGCGAAGGAATATGGAGCCTTTCCTGCCTATTCCTGCCAACCACGGAAAGAAAACTGAGTCATAACTGAAGACATACAACTTTGAAACTTATTAAGTCTTGGACATAGCAAAAATAAACCTGAAAAAACACCCTTCTCAAACACCAAGCTTGAGGAAGAAAACACCTCAGGAAAAGAAAAAAAAGGATACATGCTCCTTCCATACTCATAATCCCTAAACCTCAATTTATCATCCAGTGGATGGATGGATAACCATCCAAAAAGCATGGATAACCAGAGATCTCTCCAAGGCTCACTTACCTCTCACCACTCCCTTTCTGCTGAATTTCCTTGAGCCTTTCAACAAACTCAGTAAACTTCATTTCTTCCCTGCTCGACTTGGGCTTGAAGTTCTTGAAATTGGCCATTTTCTTCTCATCATAATACAAAAACTTGTGTGTGCTGGCACTATACACTGAGAAGTCTCCATTGCCAATGTTCTCCTGGAGGTAATCCAGGTCCCACTTCAGGGCGGGGTACACCAGGTTCGTGTCAGTCAGCACCACTGGCTCCTAGATAAAAAAACAAAACAAAACAGGAAGTGCATTGGTTCAAGAAACTCTGGAGAAACCAGATGAGTAACTGATTACCACTATCAAGTTTCCTTTTTGAAGTAAGAGGAGGACAATCAGATGACATGGTCTGGGAAGGAGGGGAGGAAAGTCCCAAATACATACCCATAAGACAAAAAGTTTTAAGACAAGCTCATGGAGGAGTGTCAGGTTCCATCAACCAACCCTGTAAACCAGTCAAAGCAGCATCTCAAGGAAGGATATAGGAATTGCCTGACTGAGTTATACAGCAGCGGTCCTTCTATCTTAACAGCAACCTGTACCCAGGTGCCTCAGAAGATCGTACAAAATACCCTCAACTCCACAATATGGAGTACATAACACCACTTTGTGTAGCCTTGTGATAGAGGCCAGGTTTGATTCCTGGATTAGCAGGTAAAAAAAAAACATACTAAAGTAAAGTGCTCTGTTATGAGGACATCCGATACAAATACTTCCATTGATCTTCAGTGGTCCCTTTGACAAGAGCTCAGCACTGTTTCACACTCCCCAACCCACCAGAAAAATCAGGCTGAGTGACAGGCTACACGTGTCCCACAACCCTCCCTAGGGAAGGATCTAGCCATGTCCCCTGTCCCATAAATGGATTACAGACACACAGCCCTGGCACTAATATTTTCCCTGTACTTGGTGGAAGAGACCACACGTTTCTGAAACCTACACATCCACTTTCCTTTTAATAGCTTTGCAGTTACAGGTACCACATTCATTTCACTGAGTTAAAGGTACAAAAGACTTATCAAATGCCACCTAGTTTGACCCATGAAATCCGCTGCATGACTGGCCTCTGTAGTATATCCCCCAAATTTCTCACCCAGTTCAAATCTGGCAGCACATTTCAGCTTTGTAAAAGGCATGTTTCCACATAAGGAAGTGTCCCCGATTCCCTGCAAGTTTCACAACCCAAATATTGTGGCAGGAAAGAGACATCCCCTGTAAGCAAGAGGAAACTGACACCACTGAGCCTCACTGTACAAACAGAAAGAAAAGGGAAACAGGCACGCAAAAACAAATGGCAATCTAATCGCTTGCAAGACTAACGACCCAGGGGGCTGCTCCCCAGGCCACAGAAGAAACCTCTTTTTGTTCTTTGATGGTTTGGGTCTGGGCTGCCCAACTAGTGGCCCCTGGGCCACCTGCTGCCCACGAGGGGTTCACAAGCGCCTGGCCCAGAGCTCCCACCTGCTGACCCTATTGCTCCAGCAGCAGCAGCAGCAGCAGCAGCAGCAGCAGCAGCAGCAGCAGCCGCCGCCGGAGTCTCGCCCCCCGCCTCCCTCCCTTCCTCCCCCGGGCTCGGTGCAGCGCGGCCCAGCCGGGCCTGCAGCTGGGAGGCGCGGGGACGAAGCAGACGGCGCCCCGGGCGCTCCCCCGCGGGAGGCACCTCATTCTCGATGAGCTCCTCGGCGCGCGGGTCGCCGTGGCTGAGGCGTGGGATGGGCCGCGTCCCGAACGTGTAGGGCCGGAACTGCGCCTCACTCCAGCCGGGGCCCACGGGCAGCGCCGCCGCGTCCTCCGGCTCCGCCCGGCACCCGGAGGCCGCCGCCGAAGAGGAGGCCGCCGCCATCACCACCCGAACTGGGGAACCTGGAACTGAACGGGGGAACCTGCAACCGGAAACGCCCTCCGGCCCCGCCCAGACCGATGCCGGAAACGGGAGAAGACCATAGAGACGGGGAGCTAGAGAGGCCTCTTCCGGGGAACAAAGGGCATTAGCGGCGCCGCGGGCACTAAAGTGGGGAAGTGGCGGGGGGAGAGCGCCTTTAGCGGCGGCGCAGCGGAACGGGAGTCTTTGGTCTCCCTGCGCCAAGACAGCGCCCAGGGGTGGGGTGGGGTGGGGCGGGCGCGGTGGCTGGCAAAGCACGCGGGCATCGGCTTACGGAAAAGCGGGGGTGAACGTGACAGCACGGGGCCAACACTGGGCCGTGCCCTGCGCCCTGAAACGCTGCAGCCGCGACGCACTTAAGGGCCAGAAGCAGGCCTCAGCTCCGAGTATCTTCCAGTTTCCTCCTTGATGGACCTTCCCATGATGAGGTGTCGACTTGATGGAGCCCAAGATGCAGGGTGCAGGCAGGACCCTCAGTGGCTGCTGTGGCATCGAGCACAGGGCAGGGCAGCTCATGTCACTTGTGGAGTCTTGCCCATCCCAGGGATTCAGATATTGAGTCTGAGTAGGGAGTCATAGACATTTAAACAAGTTTGACTTTGGGCTCATTTGATTTGTCTTTTGTTCTGAGCACCTAGAATTCCTACTGTTAATTCTTCCACAGCCCACAGGCTGGAAACTTGCTTTAAAAGAAACAAATTTGAAAGCTGAGATACCCACGTAATCACAGATCTTCAGGAACCCAGGAAATGAAACACCAACTATCACAAAGCTTATGATAAAATCCCCTGATCTGGTACACACAATGGGGAATTGTCAAAGATCACTGTAGCAAGGTGCAGGGCCTGGGGCAAATCAGGTTGTGGGGTGCCTGGACGCGGTGAGGAAGGGGATGGCGAGCAGCTGGATGCGAAGCTGACCCGGCTCCGTGGGGCCCCGCAAAGTGCAGGGCCCGGGACAGTTGCCCTGATTCAGCCCCCCTGCCCCTCCAGGGATAGGCTTGGGAATTGTACACTCAGCTGCACTTCCCATTGAGACATCACTGAGACTACTTAAAATATCAGGCGCAGCTGGGTTTCCTACCAGAACAGACATTTTTACCAGGCCTTTTTTTTGTTTTTTGCCCATATTTTAATTTCTCAACAAAATCACTGATGCTAATGTCACTAATACTGGCATTCCAAAGTCATTGTGTTAAGGTTCATCCCTTCCCTTGTGTTTGGGTGGTCTTTCCAGAGGATGCTAGGATTCAAAACCATTTACTATAAATTAATATTTTAGTTGATAGCTTCTCGCCACTGATTTTAAGTAGCAGTAACGCAAGGCACAAACAGCACAATGTCTCTTAATTAATGGAAATACTTTGAAATTGTGTCAGTTTTGATGCTAGTAATGGCTTGGGAAATGTTGCCAGTTACAAGTTGGCCAAGATGCACCCCCATATTAAAAGTGTAATATTTTTACTTATGTGCTCAATGCAAGAATAATAACTGTACTTCCATTTAGAATCACCTGTAGCTTCAGATCACAAAATGAAATGAAAACTGAAAACCTGGGTGCATGCAGGGCCTGTAGCCTTGGCTAGGATAATATAAGTTAGGGATGGTCCTGCTTTGAGCAAGGGGCTAAACTAGAATAGATGACCTCTTGAGGTCCCTTCCAACCCTACTTTTCTATGATTCTATGACTCCTCTTGAAGTTAAGCCACTGCACCTTGTATTTAACACTCATTGGATAAAACAGACAGAGAGTACAGTGGGTAAGTCCCTGCATAATTGGGAGCAAAAATTCCAAGCTAAAAACCAGGACCAGTTTCCTTGCAGAGTAGCAGCCATCTTAGAGCGCACACAGCATATGTACACACAACCTGTGGCCTCTTCTTTTTTTCCTGCTCCCACCTTTCACCTGCTCTTAGCTGCCCAAGGGAGCATCTTCAAAATGAGGGCTGGAGAAACATCTGAATAATGCCTAACCTGTAGCCTGTGGTTGGCACACTAGAGTGAGAAGTCAGAGAGATGATAAAATCAAATTGCCTGTGGGTGAGGGGGCCTAACACCTATGTCTACTGCTTCCCAGGTAAGTACTCAGCTATTGGGGCTAAAATATGGGAGGTCCTTGCTAGTCATGGTAGCCTGACCTGTTTCTGTGGAAGACTTGGAAAATCAAGTCAGAACATAGCTCAGCATTCAGCAGTGAGCCAGTAGAGGGAGCAAAGGTTTAGGATCCAACCAGATGGGAAGTTTCAAGCCAGCTGCAGATACAAAGAAGTAAGTGAAGGTTCTGTTTTGCAAATATGTGGACCTAGCAACAGAAAGCACTACACTTCATAGTATTTTCAGGACTGGGATTGATGCTGTTGCACTTGGAGTCAAAGACAAAACCTGAGGTGTCTCCTATGATGCAGGATTGGGCCCTAAGTCAGTAGCTTTATTTAATAACTGAGATAGTAACGTCACCAAATATTTGTTTGTTTAAATAAACATTATCTAAAAATAAGGCTTTTTTAAAAGTTCAAATCCCAATGCTTCACCCCATGACACACATTATAATTCAGGTACACCTTTGTGGTTCATCACTGTATTTATTAAATTAGTAGGTTCATAATTAATGTTGTTATTAGAACAAATGAGTTTAATGACACATTATCCAGGGCAGTTTTTGATCTGCAAAGGTTTATAATGTAGATCGTTATAGAGACATTACCCATTATGGCTGATGTGAATAACTGAAGGAAAATGAGTTCAACTACCACAGAGTTTACATAATGAAGTAAACTGTAGAATCCGTAATGTTAATATCGATCTTATCTACGATAACATATCGCCTACATTTGAAAAATAACATCACTAAATTAACATGCCATTTCAGCTGTTCATATTTTCCTAGCTCCACCAAGATAAGACAATTACATTCCAGTATTAACTTTAATAATATTGATACCAAATACAAAAAAGGCAATTTGCATAATGGAACCAGCTACAGAATTGATCTTATTTAGTATTGATCCTACTTTTCCATAAGATGCTGCCCTGTATTTGAAAGATAATATCCGTAATAAATTCTCATTACCCTGTTTCAGATGATGACATCTAGAGTGAAATATCACATCAATGCCCTTTTCATGTATTAGCTTTTAAGTCAATATTATAATAACAATGTCTGATTAAATCATATTTTTAGATGGGAGATTTTGCTTCTTGAATGTAGGGTTTTGATTGGTAGGCATAAACTGAAAATGAGAATCTCTCATTGCTTTAGTGCAGTGGTTCTCAACCTTTTTTGTACCAGGACTCATTTATAAACATTGATGACCAGTCCTGACCTGCTGCCCCTGCCCAGCCCCTCAGTGTGTGGGGCAGGGTTTGGGTGTGTGGGGCAGGCAGGGCCCCAAGCAGTTTCTCGCAGGCTGGAACTCTGCTAGCTTGCAAGGGAAAAGCCATGGTATCCCATGGTTTACTCCTTTAAAGGAGAATCCATTTTTAAAGTTTGCTTGCAATCCTTTCGTATATTCTTGCAACACACTTCTGGGTTGTGACCCATGGGTTGAGAAACACTTCTTTAATGTATAAGCTACCCTTGAATAACAGAGTAAGAAGGCTTCACCTTAGAAATAAAGGAATTGACGTCTCATTTTCTTTTTGTCATATGTGTTGAAGGAGACTCTAAGGCAGTGGTCTCCAACCTTTTTAAGTAGGAGATCACCTTTAGCTTTTACAAGCAACCCAAATCTACCATGCGCCTCCTGCTCCCCCCCCCAACTCAGCAGGTAAGTCTGTGGGGATAAAAGGGGGGGGGGCAGATCAAGGCGGAGCGAGAAAGAATTATTTGGGGGTAAGCCTTCCCAGCAGGTAAG